AAAGACGACTCTATGCAAAATTTTGGGGCTCTATCTCAATTCGTTTAGACGCTAGAGTGATTACAACAGACGGACAGACGGACATGCTTAGATCGTCATAGAATTTTACGCTGATCAAGAATATATATACTTTATAGGGTCGGAAATGATTATTTCGATGCGTTACAAACGGAAAAACAAAACTAATATACCCTCCATACTATGGTGGAGGGTATAATAAAATAGAGGTTGGGAAACATATCTGATATTCTGAAAATAACTAATATTGGGTGTATCATTATGTGAGAACTATATAAATTACCAATATGATTATGAATATTTATAATTTGGTAATTTTAAGAAAGAACAAGTAAAAAAGCGTTAAGTTCGGCCGGGCCGAACATTCCATACCCTCCATAATAGAAATACTGACAAATTTTTCAAATGAAAACATAGTCAACATACATATAACGACAATTCTTTCAATCGATTGTTGTAAACCAAATAGAAAATTCAGCAATTTCAATGGGGGTTTTCCTAAAATCTCAAAACCCTAAAATATTGACATATATTATTAACGCATGGTACGGTGAAACATGTGTATAAAATCTTGAAAATACTCCAATTTAGAGAGCAATATTATATATGAGGCATACTAAAGCGGGACCAATATTGAGAACATTGTGTTGGAATTAGCAACTACTTGGTGTTTTCATTATATAAGGGGTTAGGCCTAATTAAGGGCCGATGTACCCCAAGTTTCAAGCTAATATTTTAGTTTTGAATCCCAATACCGTCCATCACGCTAAATATTAAATAGGTAGGATGTTTTATATATTCCTATATGCTGGTCCTATATGTCGATATTCTCCTAGAGAAAAATGATTACAACATATGACTAAATCGTTTTAGAATTCCATGCTATGTGGGGTATGAACTAAAAACTTCGTCTACCGAATATCCCCCCTACCATGGAATACAGCTATGGGCTGCAGCTATATGGGATAACTCCAACACACACAAATAATCAGCTAACTATTTTAAAATAAACAAGTGAAAAAGCGTTAAGTTCGGCCGGCCCAAACTTTGGATACCCTCCATCGTAGATATACTGACAGGTACTAGAAATAAAAATATAGGGAACATACCAAAAAGTGGACCTATACCGACATTTCTAAAAACGGATTATGAAACCATAATGTTAATAATAATACAAATTTCAGATTTTTTAATGGATAATTATACCCTTAGCCTAATGCCTAATGAGGGCGTATACACTTTAACACGGTGAAAATGTTTTTTTTTGGACCAAATCCGTTTCCGAAGATATAGATTTCATCCTAACTTTGCCAATCTTATTATTTCTTCCAAACTTAGTTCAAATTCGAAGATGGTTAATATCGGTCCACTCACTCTGGAACCTCCACACAGGGGTTAGGTTTAAATGCGGATATAGTTCATTATCAAACCTTACGATCTAATTTTTTATCTCGCTATCCTACACAGGGGGAATGATTACAAAAGAGTCATATAATCAAACTCAAAACGCGGAACAAATAAGATAACTATTTTAATATAAAAAGGGGGTTATATGGGGACTACCCTAAAAAGAGGGCGAATATTAATAATTTTTGGTAGGGAGATTTTTTACCATATACAACTTCAAAATATCGAATTGCAGCAAATTCGGTTGTAAAACGCGCTCAAGAACCCCAAAATACCGAAAATTGGGGCAAACCTTATATAAGGCCTATCGGAAAAAATGGACCTATATTAATAATTTTTTGTGGAGAGATTTGGTACCTATTAAGAACTCAAAATACTAAATTACAGCTAACTCGGCGGAAAAATACGATCAAACCCCCCAAAATACTGAAAATTACGAGGTACCGTTATATGGGGGCTACCAGAAAAAGTGGACCTATATTTATAATTTTTGGTGGAGATATTTAGCACCTGATAAGAACCAATTGTACAAAATTTCAGCAAATTCGGTTGAAAAACGCGTTCAAGAACCCCTAAATACCGACATTTGGGGGTACCCTTATATGGGGGCTACCAGAAAAAATGCACCTATATTTATAATTTTTATTGGAGAGATTTGGTACCCAATAAAAACTCAAAGTACTAAATCACAGCCAATTCGGTCGAAAACTACGATCAAAACCCCCCAAAATACTGAAAATTAGAAGGTAGCGTTATATGGGGCTACCAGAAATGGATTTATATGTATAATTTTTGTACCCAATAGCAACTGGAGAAATTTTGTACCCAATAGCAACTCAATATACCAAATTTCAGCGAATTCGGTATATCTCAACTCGTTTAGACGCTAGAGTGATTACAACAGACGGACAGACGGGCGGACAGACGGACATGCTTAGATCGTCATAGAATTTTACGCTGATCAAGAATATATATATTTATAGGGTCGGAAATGATTATTTCGATGAGTTACAAACGAAAAAACAAAGTTGATATACCCTCCATACTATGGTGGAGAGTATAAAAATGTCCCTATATCCAATTTTCAGTATGGGTCTACGTTTCGAGGTAGCCCTCAGAGAGCGGCATCTTGGGGACTTTTGTATCTAATGGGGTGTCAAATCTTCCCAATAAAAAACCAGTAAGGAAAGTAGTAAAGTCGGATTGGGCCGACTATATGACGCCCTTCACCACTTTGAGTATATTGTACATATGTATCCTTACAATTGCATGTCAATGTTCCCTCGAAGGAACACACTCATGTCTTTCTGCAACTTTTGATAAATTTCATTTCATTCGGGCGGATTTAGAGCCGTCTGCGTACCATGGGAATAATTTATGGAAAACAATTTATAGCAAAATTGATACATGCTATTCGATACGCCGCACTGTTAAAGAATTAATCTCAATCAGACACCCGTTCGAAATACATATGGAAGCTATCTGTACCAATTTCAACAAAACGCAAAAACGTCTTTCAAGTCTCAATTTGATACTTTGTGCAAAATTTTGTGTTAAGGGGACAAACTTTTGAGCTTGGTGCACCATGTATATAAAATCGGACGAATATATATGTATATGTGGGAGCTATATCTACATCAGATGATTTTCTCGAAACTTGACACACGTAATTCTAGGCTCAATTCAGTACACTACGAAAAATTTCGTGCAAATCGAACCATATATATATGTGGCGACTTTGGTGCATAGTTACATAAAATCGGACGAAACTATATATGGGAACTATTCTATAAAGAATAGTATATATGGTGGTGAAGGGTATAAAAATCAAATTCATAGCGTAAAACACAGAGAAATTTTAATGCATCAATATGAAATCGAAATAATACCGAAAATTAAAAAAAAACAAGTAAGGAAAGTTCAAAAGTCGGACGGGGCCGACTATATGATACCCTTCACCACTATGGGTACATGTAAGACATGTTTATATCTACAATATCCTGTAGATATAGATATTTCGCATACATCAGTCGGGACCTAATTCAGTACTCTGTGCAAAATTTTGTCTCAATCGAATAAATATTGGCAGTATGGAGCTTCATTTACATAAAATGGGACGACACTGTATATAGCAGCTATATCTAAATCTGAACCGATTCCAACAAAATTTCACATACATCAGTCGGGACCTAATTCAGTACTCTATTGTAATATATACCAGTAAGGAAAAATCAAAAGTCGGACGGGGCCGACTATATAATAACCTTACCCACTTTGGATACATACAATATCCTGTAGATAGAACAGACTTATAACCTTTAGAGGACCATTGAACTGGAATCTGGCGAAACTACATATTTGTAATCCACATAGATATTTGAACCAATAATAAAAAATTAATACCCATATCATTCTGAAATCTATGAAAGATTGCATGCCAATCGGATTCTTTTGTGTACACTTCGTATGAAATCGAGCAAAATAATCTAAAGCTATATGTAAATCTGGACCTAATTGAGCAACAGTGGCATATACCATTTGGTATGCTGCAGCACAGTGCGCTGTCCACAATTTTATCTTGTGTATATCGAACAGACGTAGGCACCATTTCGGTGCACCATTTACCCAAAATCGGAAGGGTATAAAAAGGGGTTATATGGGGACTACCCCCGAGGGGGTGAATATTAATAATTATGGGAGGGAGATTTGTTACCAAATTCGGTAAAAAAGGCGCTCAAGTGCCCCAAAGTACCGAAAATTGGAGGGTGCCCAAAATACCGAAAAATGGGCGTAACGTTATATGGGGCCTAAATGAAAAAGTGCACTAACATTTATGTTTTTAGTGGAGGGTATTGGGAGAACCCTAAATTCCGAAATTGGAAATTCCGAATTGGAAAAAACTCCAAAATACCGAAAATTGGGAGTACCCTTATATGAAGACTATACGTAAACGTGGACCGATATAGCCCATCTTGGAACTTGCAGACAAAATACTATATGCACAATATCAGCCCCCTATCTTAATTCCCGCATAAGATATCGTGACTGATGGATCGTAAATTTTCCTACCAAACATTATAAATTTTGGTCCAATTTTTATTTTCTCCCAAATTTCGATACTTTCGTGATTTTGTGGACGTTTTTCGACCAAATTGTAATTTAGTATTTCGAAATCTCATTGGATGTGAAATCGTCGTACCAAAAATTATTAATATTGACATATGTTTCCGAATAGGACCCATTTAAACGGCGGTCCCATTATTCAGTATTTCGGGATTTTGAGCACGTTTTTCAACCAGATCGGCTATATTTCAAATTTTATTAAGGTATGTAATTTAAGGTGCAGTCGCACTTCTTTGTTAATAGCATATTTATGCCCTCAGCCTTAGGGCTAATGAGACTGTATACACGTTTTTACGGCAAAAATATGCATATGAAGTCGATTTTCAAATGTCAGTCCATTTCCTTATTGGAGATATGAAAAATATTAGATTTTAAAAATATCAAAGAGGTATATTTTAATATAATTGCATTTATTTTCTTTATTGTGATAAAATGTTTATGCTTTGTAACAAAAATATATATATTTTTTTTATTCTTCAACTTCATTCAACATGGCTTTGAATGAGAATGGTTGGAAGGCATAGCCCAAACCTTCATAGAATTTGCTCATAAATTCGACCCTGAAATATAAGAAACAAAAAATACAATTATAAGCAAAACAAACCACGTGAATCGCATTTTTTTGTAACATACCAATGTAAACGTAAAGTGTGCAAGAAGGCGGATAGACCTTCAATCAAGACTAAAATACCAAATGTCAAGACAGCCCAGGCGCCGAACATGAAGAAAATGATAACACCTCCAACATAGTCGATAGGAACAAAACCCATATGCATGACCATGTTCCACAAGACTTCAGATAATTCTGCAATTAAATTAAAAATTGTCATATGTTGCTTGATATTCGGAATTGTCGTGCTGCTACTTACGGGCATGAGCCAATGACAAGGCCCACAAACGCAAATATGAGGCCGTATGCGAAATGGTACTCAAAACATATTCAATTGTGTGAATGGCTTGCTGAATGAAAACTTCACCCATGGGCTCGTTTTCATGACCATGGCCACCATGACCACCCTCAGCAGATGGAGCGGGCTTAACGGCATTATTTTCGACATCTCCATTGGTATGATGCACGGCAGGTTGCTTCTTACGTTGACACATAATATATAAAGGTTTACCCAACAACATCCATGGAATACAGATAACGGCAATGATAACAAATACAGTCTGTATCATATCCTGACCCTCGAAGAGATATTCCTCACAACCGTCCAGGGGTTCTTGATGTTTGAACAACATCATGTTAATGAAGAGAATCAAAATCGATGGAGAACAGCCAGGTGTCAGGGCCTGTTCATCAGCCTTGGCGGAGTATTTGACGAACTTGAAGAACATCATAAATACCATGTAGCCGAACAACAAAACCAAGAAGACAATTTGGGGTATAAAGTCCATAATGATGTTAACACGTCTCTTGAAATGGGTGTAGTTGACCAGGGACATGCAGACACCGAATATCATGTGCAGTACACCGAAAATAATGGACAACTTCATTTTGTAAGTGTTAAGGAAAATGATTTTGTTATCGCCCAATTGCCAAATGGGATCCAAACCCATGGGATAGACCCCCTCCACATGGTATTCAGGATTCATTTGCAAATTAGGATTATCAAGGACGGTGGTGGTATTGTAACGTGCTCTCCAACTGGATCCAAAGATATTCATGGACTTGGAGAAAACGTCGTTGTATATGAAACCGGTGTACAAGGAGAACAGACCCATCAGTAGGATAATGTAGCGACCACCGAAGAAAAGTTGGAAAATTTCACCCTTGATTTTACGCAATTCATTCTCACGGATGACCAGGTACAAAGCGAAAGCAAACAATATCAAGCCGTGACCCAAATCACCAAACATCACAGCGAACAAGAAGGGGAAAGTGATGCAAGTATAGAGAGCAGGATTTGCCTCACGATACGATGCCACGCCATAGGAATCGATAAGGTTCTGGAAACCATTGGTGAATTTGTTGGTACGCGTGAAAGTGGGTGGTTGTTCATGGGTCTCGATGATATTCACAAACGAGGGAATGGTACTCTCCACCAATTTTGAACCCCTGGCCAAGGCATTGCTCACCGTCTGGAAGTCATTGAGTGGTACCCAACCTTCACCAATCAAACACTTGTTCGAAACATCCATGTTGAACATGTTCAGGGTATGATAAATGGCCTTCATTTTCTTGACACTAACGGTCCAGGCTGGCAAGTTGCGAGCAGCACTAACCAAAACACGATTACGATGGTCGGCGGTGCTGTTCAATACCAATTTCAAATCTTCCAATCTCGTCGAGACATCTTTCAACATATCCACACGTTCCTGGTGGGCACTGGGACATGGATAGACGGCAGCATGGAATGCCGAACAGATCTTCTTAATTCTCTGCTTCAATTGTTCACCTTGGAAAAAGGCCACAAACACAGTCTTCAAAACGGGATTTCCTGTTTCAGGGTCCTTAAGCATACCGCTTAAATCACTGCGTTTCAAGAAAACATTACCACGTGAAATACGCCACAACATACGTTCAAAGGCAAAGAATTTCTCTAGCTTGATAACACCGGCAATGAAACCCAATTGACCCCTCTGCTGTTGGGCATTCACATCATTAGGGTCGACATAACGATTTGTATCCAAATTGAGTATCTCTTTGTCATCAAAGAAACTTTCAGTGTTTTCCAACACTGCCTTCAATTCACTCATATCATTGTAGTTGACATTCAAATTGACAGCATTTTGACTCAATTCCTTCAATTCGGTCTCAATCGATTCCAAATGAGCCTCCAAATCGATAATTTCTCTTGGATTTGGTGCAGCCGGTTCATTGTCTTCATCCAGCTTGGGCATTTCAATGTCATCTTTACGCATTTCATTTTCCACATAGCGTATGCGACGTTCAAGTTCATCACAACGTCTCACTTCGGTGACGAATTTACGTTGGAAGGAGCTGACTTCTCCATTAAGCTGGAAATCAATAGAAATAATAATTTTGAATTAGTAATTTATAATTAAAAAATAATGCGATTATACTTACATCGCGGAACTGTACACAACCCAATTCACCCAACTCAGCTACAGAGGCATAGGCAGCCTCAGGCTGTATGAAGAGCTGGCACAAAGCCATCTCTTCACTGCGAAACATATCACCCATGGCGGCGATTTATTGAACGTCTAACTGCAAATAGAAGAAGAAAAAAAATAATTGATATTAATATGGAGGTATTTATTATAATTATAAGATTTCGAAGTAGAGCCAACATCTAGCTCCATCATAAAGAAGTGTTGGGAACCACATGAAGGGGTATGCTCAGATTCAACTGAGTCAATTCGAATATTACTTAGGGAATATGTGGAAGGCAATATCCTGCGCAATATTATTGCACAGGAAATTCCACTGAACCCTTCGTTTTTGGTCGACGTCCCTAAAATACGTTTATTTCGGAAATTAATGGTTTCTTTCTCTCAATTTCTTTCCATAATGTGAAGAAGTCGATCGATATGTCGAAGAGGATAGATGATGTAGGCTTCGTTGACGGAATATGTGGTATATCGTTCAAATTTAAAAGTAGACTCAATTCAGTACCCTATGTCAAATTTCGTGCAAATCGAAGGATATATAGGGATATTGGTGCATTATTTACCTAAATTTAGACGAAAATATATATAGGAGCTACACCTACATCTGAACCGATTTTCTAGAAACTGAGCACACGTCATTCTAGACTCAATTCAGTATGCTGTGATAAATTTCGAAAGATATATGAGGACTTTGGTGTACATAAAATCGGACGAAAATATCAATGGGAGCTATATTTAAATCTGGACCGATTTTTACGACACTTAGCACACATCATTCTAGACTCAATTCACTACGCAATGTCAAATTTCGTGCAAATCGAAATATATATAGGGACTTTGGCGCATCATATACATAAAATCGGACGAAAATATGTATGGGAGCTATATCTAAATTTGAACCGATTGTCTCGAAACTTAACTAAACATCATTCTAGGCACAATTCAGTATGCTGTTTCAAATTTCGTGCAAATCGAATGACATATAGAAACTTTGGTGCTCTATTTACTTAAAATCGGAGGAGAATATATATGGAGCTATATCTAAATCTGAACCGATTTTCACGAAATTTAATACACATCGTTCTAGACTTAATTCAGTACGCTATGCTGAATATATAGGGACTTGGGTGCACTATTTACCTACAATCGGACGAATCTATATATGTGAGTTATATTTAAATCTGAACCGATTTTCACGAAATTTAACACACATCGTTCTAGGCTTAATTTAGTACGTTATGCTGAATTTCCGGCAAATTGAAACATATATAGGGTCTTTGGTGCACTATTTACCTAAAATCGGACGAAAATATATATGGGAACTATATCTAAATCAATTTTTCCCAATTTCAATAGGATTCATCCTTGGACCAAATAAATGAGCTGTGCCAAATTTCATCCAATTCGAATAAAAAATGCGGGAATATATGTGTCATATGCCGTTCAGGCCTAACTAGACGTTCATTTTATTAACTCCTGAACAACAGAAAATGCGTTGAAGTGTTCAAAAAAAGTTGTGGTGGCGCCTCAATCGGAGAGGAATTGTGACAAAAAGTTTGAGCCTATGGGAATAATTCTAAAACCAGTGAGCGGAGCAGTATAGTCGAACTTTCTGTGGTTCTATATTCTGAGCTTGGGTAATATTTCGCGATATTTGCACCCTCATGACCGACTAGAGGTCAACAAATATTCAGTACAGCCCTTCACCGTGGGTTGTGTTGTGATGTTCGGCTTGTGGCCTATAGAATCGACTCGAAAAAAAACACCAAAAAATAAGTTTTCAGTCCACTTCATCCCTAAATTATAATCTGATCATCACCGAAAATTATAGGCGTTGTCGGTGACCATAACATGAACCTCATGGAGAATTTCAAAGCGATCAACGCTATATTTCCGCCCTCTAGTGTGGTAATGGGTTACTAAATTATATATGATAAATATTTATGTGTAAGTCCCGCATCCGAGTACATACGACAATATAATTGGTATCAATTTAAAGGTCAACCACTCCTCTTGAACATACTATTAACTTCTCGGGTCTAGGACCCTCAGAATACACATTTTGTAATTTTTCACACAAAGTCAGGGTCCATTTGACCCGCTAAATATTTACCGATCTTTATCAAAACAGGCATACTTATTCTTTGGCCCAATCCCATTCTCCATGCAAAAATTCGAGGTGTTTGGGCCATAATTGCGGCCTCTGAAGCGACCAGAAAAACCGACAAAAATAAAGTTTTTGGTCCATTTCATCCCCTAAATATTAACCGATCTTTTCCAAAAACAATATGGGTCTTCATTGGCCAGAACCCATCCTACATGCAAAATTTCGTGAAGATTGGTCCATAACTGTGGCCTGTATCGTGTTTACAAATTATAATGGACAGACGGACGGACGGACACGCATGTCTAGATCGACTCAGCTAGTCGAGATATGACGATCGGTATACTTAAAGGTGGGCCTAGAATCCATATTTCGCGGCGTTACAAACTCTTGAGGCTGCACAAAGCTATAATACCCTGACAACATAGTTGTGTAGGGTATAAAAAGCGACCTTTACTCTCTTTACAGTGGGCAATTGTAGGTTAATTCTGAGAGGTACATCACAATATACACAGGATTAAAAGGTGGAATATATGTGTCATATGCCGTTCGGGGCTAACAAGGCTTTCATTTTATTAACTCCTGCACAACAGAAAATGCCTTGAAGTGTTCAAAAAAAGTTGTGGTGGCGCCTCAATCGGAGAGGAATTTTGACAAAATGTTGAGCCTATTAGTACGTTTTCATTTAACCGGATTTCGTTAACCCAGTGGGTTTCAATTGTCAATTCCTTTGCATATACGTCAAATAAATCCTCATAAAGTAGGTTAACCCGGTAAAAAAGTTCTATATACAAGGGGTTTATGGGAATAATTCTAAAAATCAATAAAACCTTTTTCGATAATAAGTATTCGAATTTTCATAATAAGGTGAGAAATATATAGTATCCCTTGTATTATCTTAGATTTATTACGAAAAATTATTATTACAACCCCATCAGCATTTTAACATGTAATGCCTAAAGGTATGTGTCCTTTAATCATTTATATGATAGTTACAACAATCAAATACACAAACATATACACATACATAGCTTTACATTCCACTATTTAAATATAAACCATTTTAATGGGTATTTACTTAACGCATTGACGCTTCAATGCCCCAAAACTAAAGTGTGTGGGAATTTGTTGATATGTATAAAAAACATAACACCCACACACACACGCACATTCACTCATTTCTGGGGATTTTAATATTATTTATGATTAAAAATTATTTATAAGTGTTATTTTTTTTAATATAATGACAATGTTTTTTTTTTTTTTAATTTGACAAGTTAAGCTGATGGGATATTAGTGTTACTTCGGGTATTAAAATCTTTGTTATTCAGCTGATAAATTATTGGTTATTGAAAGAAAAAAAAATAGTAAACATTTTTAAATTAAAATTATTATTTATACTCGTACTTTGTGAAAGATTAACAAGTTTGTTTTTAATGATAAATTAAATACAAAAAACACATACCGATTAAAAATTGATTGATATTCACAATTTTTCACATATTTAAATCGAATAATTGATAATTGGAAATGTCATATTGAGATCGATTTATTTAAATATATAGAGAAGAAGAATAGAAGAAACAATAAATGGGGAAAAATGTTTACATTGATTCAAAATAGTTTTTAATTTGCTGGGCTTTTTCAGTCACGAAAATAAGCATTAATTTTATATCTTTATATAGATTCCTGAGATTGGATATTGAACCCTAATTAAAAATGTTAATCAAAATTTGCCAAATAGCTCAGCTGCATACATAAAAAATTGTCGTCACATGGCAATTAAATTTGGGTTATTATCAAACCATATTACCACACCTAATTGCCAATAGCATTTAATGATACCCCCCTAATAAAGTGTTATAATTTAGTCACGGGGTTTTGCGTGAGTGTGTCACAACACTTGTAGTTATTTTTAAGGGAATTTTTTTTTATTCCCCCCATCATATGTCATAAGTGTTTCGTCTTTATAGCCAGCCAGAGATAAGTTAAGTTTAAGTGTCAAATCGTCATGGGCATTTCGCATTTCGAAATATCACTTATATCACGTGCTTTACGTCATAAATGTCAAGAAGACCACTCAAAATACGACAATCAATCAAATCGAACCGAACTATAGATACTACAAGACATTATCGATTTTACATTATTTTCAAAATATTTTTTTGGTGTCTTATCAATCGAACGATAAGGATTAGTAATATATGAGAAGTAAACAACCCATGAAATTTTGATTAGTGGCGTTAGAGTACAAAAAATTATTGTATTAATAAATGTTAAATTAAAATTGTGATTTGTTTATTTGAAAATCGTAAATTACAATTTGCTAATCACTGACGTGATTATATTTCGAATTAAATGTATCTTATCACATGGAATTAAAATATAATATTATTTTGGAAAAATATTCCAATTTTGAAAATAACACTTTAGTGTTATTAATAAATTGTCTATAAATCGTTGGAAAGGATTATTCCTTGTTATCATATTTGTTCAATTCGCAGAAATAAAATATTTGTTGTCTGGTATAACAAATTTTGGGATTTGTGATAATTATACCCTTCACCACACTGTGGTATTATGTCTTTGTGCATATGTTTGTAACAGGCAAAAGGAAACGAGATAGACACATGGTTCCTTTTGAGAATATGCATAGAATCACTTTTTAAGTCGATTTATGCATGTCCGTCCGTCTGTCTGTCCATGTTAAATTGTAAACAAAGTACAGGTCGCATTTATAATCCGAATTGGATGAAATTTGGCACAGGTCACCTATTCGGCCCAAGGACGAACCCTATTGAAATTGGGAAAAATTGTTTCAGATTTCGATATAGCTCCCATATATATTTTCGTCCGATTTAAGGTAAATAGTGCACCAAAGTCCCTATATATGCTTCGATTTGCCCGAAATTTGGCATAGCGTACTGAACTAAGTCTAGAACGATGTGTGTAAAATTTCGGGAAAATCGGTTCAGATTAAGATATAGCTC